CCCCGACCACCGCCATTGGGAGCGCCGAAAGTGGCTACACCGACCCGGAGCTGAAGGCATTTATGGACACACTCAATGTTGAAGATGATGCGGACGATGTCCAGGAGGTGCCCATACCCATTGATACGATCGACGTTGATGACGAAATCGACATTGTTTTCGACAATACCATAAAAAGGTTGTCGCAAAAGAAGCAAAAGCAGGCAGCAAGCCCGCTGCAGCAGAAGCCAAAAGTGAAGAAACGGATTCTACGGAAGCGACTCGCTGAATATTCCTTTCTTCAGATGCTTTATCTGGCCGCCAACAGTCCCTGCATTGACTTCCTGCATTGGTCGAAGGACAAATTGTGTATTATCGTGCTATATGTGGCGCTGCAGGAGCATTTGATCAGCTCTCGTTCCATGTTCCGTTGTCGCAGTGTCCTCCAGTTCGCGACAGAGCTCTCGAGATATGGCTTTGAGCGTGTGTTTGACGTCGATTGCAAGGATGCGGCCAAGGGCACTATAGTCCTGGTCTTTCAGCACCCAAACTTTGTAATGGGTGCGCCGCACAAGATCCGTAAGATAAGCTACGAGAACATGCAAGAGGGACAGGAGAATGCGCAGACTTTCGCAGCAGGACACCAGCAAAGGGACAAGGATATCTGCACCGCCTTTCACTCGTACCTGTCGCCCCTGCAGGTGGCACGCTGCCGCCTCCACACGGAGCTGAGCTACCACTGCGATATGGCTCTGCTCCACGAATGCGCCAATGAGTCCAACAGGCCGGTGGCCAAACGAGCCGGACGTCCCGCACCCATCTTGGAAATGACCGTGGAGCAACAGCTTGCGGGCAGAACGGACAAGTTTGTGAATCCGTACGAGTCGGTGACCAAGATACTCACGAAGCAGGTGCCCTCGTATGCCGGCTACTACGGCAACGTGCCGCACCCGAAGCTGGAGGACTTCTTCCAGCAGTACATGCCCCGCTATGGCATCAAGATCAGCGGCTACAAGCAGATCGTAATTGACGGCCACAACAAGTCGAGTGACTTCAACCAGAACATACCAATTGGCAACGACGACTCGGACGATGAGAACGATGAACCGGCCAAGAGGGATGTCTTTGATCTGGAGGAGGTTATGAACCAGCTGTGCGACGAAGATGCCATCGCCAGCGAGGACGATGTTGAGCTACTTAAGGACTCTGTGGAGCTATTGCTGAATGAAGACGACGGCACCTACACGTATATCAAAAAGGCCAAAGAAGAACAGAAGCCGCTGCCCAAGTTGATTCTACCACAGAAAGCGACCAAGAAACGTCAGCAGGAAGACGATCAAAGAAAGGGAAAGCGACCACTGCCCAAGAAGTTGAAGAAATGCCTGGTACAAGCTGAGATCGAGGACGACACAACCGATACAGACGACACAGATACAGATGCAGATGCAGATGCAGAAACGGGGCAGCAATCAGTGGAGCCTTCCCTTCAGAATGTTATCCAGGAGGATGTGCTCATGGATTTCGCTGGCGATGATGACGATGATGAGTACATTGATAAGAAGGTGCTGCGCCGCACAGCCAGACTGTCGGCTTCCAAACGACGCAGCTACGAGTTGCGGAAAGTCAAGCGTGGCTCCAAGAAAAAATAAGTTTTTGGAAAATTATGTGATGGCTTTCAAAGCCAAACAAAATGCAACAGGCGACCAAAAAGTCAAATAAAATATTATTCACCTGCCAAAAAGCCTTCTAGGAATCGGACCTTTGGAGCTTCTTCAACTTTCCCCCCAACTTTCACATTCTCAACAATATTTGTGGTTAAAATATCTACACAAGTTCTCTCTCAACTTGAAGCATCAGACAACGTCTCGTCTGTTATCTGTTGCCTTCTAACTCCACACACATTTAACAATCGCAACTTCTCTGTGGTCATCAGCATACTCCAGACCATTATCCATTATTTGAAATATATTTTTAGGGTGCCATAACTTTGGACATGTGGTCCGAGACGGCACAAGGCAGGCAATTAAAGCTGCTTATCGACTTTTGATCTCTCACGCCCTCAGTGCCCCACTACGAGGGCCAATCAAAAGTGTAATATGGTCAGGAAATATCTTACCAATTCGAAGAGAAACAAGCACCCACTCTCAGACACACACCGACAGACACAAGAGAGAGAGGGAGCACTAAAGGCAAAGGAAAGGCCCAGACAGGGGCACAATCAGTCGGATGTTTACAAGTTTTATGAGCCACCAAATAACAAGATGAACAACAAGCGGCAGAAGCAACAGGCAGCGGGCCAGGAGGCAGCCGAAAAAGCGAAAAACCGAAACCCCAACCGAGACCCAGAGGGGCTAATCGAGAGTTGATTTCGAAGGGATTTCGCTTTGGCAGATTCGCAAAAAGAAGTATTACTTTTTTTTTGTGATTCTTTTTTTCTGCATTCAGTCAGCACAGCGTGAGTCGAGACAAGATTTTTATCGTCTTTAATTTGCTTTTTATTTGATATCATATTTCAGGGACAGGCTGCATGCACTCGTACCTCCAAGAACTTAGCCAGAGCGTTGAAAACAAAAGGCAGGGAGGCATAAGCACTCCTCATCCTATCTCTCTCCCTCTGGCTATATTTTCGGTTGGAGCAGAACCTTGAGTCAAGACGTCATAATGCCATAAAAATGTCACATACTTTTAATAACTTTATGACAGCTACAAAATCATAAACAAAATGCTCTGACAGCATCAACCACACACCACACACAGGCTCGGAAAAAGAGCCCAAGGAGGGATAGTGGAGAGTGGAGTGTGGGTATCGGAGTGTACGCTGGTGCGGTTGAGATCTTTTGGGAGTCATCATAATGAGATGTGTCATGTTTTGCCTTCTGAGAAATGTGTTTGTTGCTCTTCGTTTCGTTTGCTTTTTGGGCCCCGGTTATAGTGTAGGCGACGCTAGGACTCAGATGGCCTGGCGGCTAAGAGTCGCAATTATGAACATGACAGGTCGATTATTAAATTGGATGTTCAAATGATGTCTTCTAGGGACTTTGAACTTGAGATGACAATGATTTTGGGTATCAATCAGCAGGGGTAAATGGGATAGCTTGAGTTGAGTCAGGGATGCGCAGAATTATACTCAATAAGCTGATGGCTTGACAGAGCTTCTAAGAAGTGAAGGCATTTACAATTATTTGCATTTGATCGATATTTTAATGATGAAACTTCCTTATAGATATCATTTTTTTGCAGCTCCTTTTTCAGTAATTGACTTATGAAAGTCTTTTTCCATAGCTGTTGCTCCTTCATCTCCCTCATGCAGGTTTTATCCTCCTCTGCCACTACTCACCTCATACGCACTCTCACACACACTCTGAGACGAACAGACCAGACGTGGCCAAAAAGCCCGCAATCGCAATCGGAGCTTTAGTTTCAGCGCATAAATTCGCTTTGCCACAGAAATTATGGAACCAGAAATAAAGTCGAGAATAATGAAGCCGCCAAATACAAGTAAGCGGGGACTGGTGGAGGAGGGTGTCTCGAGAGCAGGATCAAACAAAAAAATAAAATAAAAATGCACGAGACTGAGAGCGGAGAGTTATTAAATGCCAAGTTATTTGTCGTTTAGCTGGAAATCCGTGCAGGTCGGCGGCAGTACTTTAACTTCTTTTTGGTTTGGTTTTCGTTTCGGTTTTGGTTTTGGTTTCTTGTATTTTCGAGACTTCTTTACGACTTTGAGTAGGAAATCTTTACGAGTTTCTCGGGTGAGACAAATTTATTGGCAAAGTATAAATGGTTTCTTTACTGTTCATTTCTGTCCGTTTCCCTTTTTATTTTCCCCACTTTTTGTATGCACCCCCCGCCCGTTTTTTGTTTTGGCTTTAATATGAAGTCGTAAAAAGATTTTTAATGATGCATGGCGTTTGTAAAACTATTTACATATGCATCTACATACACGTATCTTTATGGAGGCAAAACTCCACTCAGACTCCACGGAAACCCCAACACCAAACCGAAAAGACGTGGGGCGTGCTTTTCCTCAAGGTTTGGCAATTTGTCTTTTGATGGGAAAACTCCTGCAGGCACACATGAAGTGTGGAGTTTGCGGGGAGATCTCTGACTAGAGAAGCATTATTAATGGATGGATTTTTAATGGTCAAGACCAGTTTTAGTTTTGTGGAAGTGCCGCTTGGAGCAGCTTGTCTTTGCTGATGGGAAATATCTTTGATCTGACAGTGATGTCCGATGGAAAATAAAATGTCGGTTGGGCCTAAGAATATGAATCCAGAAGGAGAGAGCTCGAACTCTTAGTAGAGAAATTAAATACCATAAAGAAACATCTATTACTGATGTTAAACATCCAATAAATAGTTGAACCCTATACCAGAACTCTTTCTAATTGGGAAAACCCATTTACAGCTTGTTTTAATGATCTGCATTTGCATCTTTTAGAATAAATCATACAATTTCAAGGAAGTAGACTCTCGATTAGCAGCAAAATCGAAACACAATTTGCCATTTCCCCTTGAATAATTTGTTGCACATTTTGTTAAGAACTTTGTGGCTTATCTTTATGCTTATGCTTTTGGCCAAATTGCAACTTTATATAAGCGATTTTGCTGTACGGTGGAATATGGGAACTGTGGCAAATATTCCGAGCAATTTATTGTTGGAGTGGAGAAGTTGCTCCTCTGAGTTTGGCGCGTGTCCTTGGGCCTTGCTTCTGGTTTTTTGTTTTGTTGTGGAAGGTAGAGGAATTTTATGATTGCACAAATGCAAAATGCATAACAATCACAATTGCACAAAATATTTCGCTAGCAAATTGGGATTTATGTGCATGGGAGGGATATGGCCTCCTTGGGTTCCTTGGGAAAACTTTTAGCCATGGCAGTCAAAGTAACCCAGTTTCAAATTGCTTTTTTATTTGCCCAATAGCTTTGGGGAATGCGACTCCAGATATGGTTATGGATATGGATGTTACCTCGAAGTACTTTATGCAACATTTGCCAAACTTTTGATGCTGCCACAAACAGTTAGTAATCCTCTGAGGGAGAGGGTATGCAGTGGCAGGCTCCGGGGGTATTCGCACTTAGCCAGCGCAGATACTGATTGACTCTCGTGTAGACGCCGGGCGCATTGGGTCGGGCACAGCCCACGCCCCAGGACACGATCCCTGCAAGCTGATACTGGCCCGGTCGCTCGTCGAAGGTCACCTGAAGGGGTCCACCGCTGTCGCCGCCACAGGCATCCTTCCCGCCCTCAACCAGCTGTCCGGCACAAAGCATATTGTCCGTGATATCTTTGGGTTTGTACGCAGTGCAGTTGCGGCAAACACTTTGGGGTATTACGAGTACATCCACCTCCTGAAAAGAGTGGACAAACTCAATGATAGTTTGTGGGGCTCCTCCTCCCGTTACCTGTAAACTTTCACTGACAAATCCATCTTCTGTCTGGGCTCCCCAGCCCGTGACAATGGCCATCTCGTGCTCAAAGCTGTGACCTTGGACGGGCAGGCAAATGGGTCTCAGGTGCAGACCCTGCACATCCACGGGTTGACTGAGACGCAGCAGGGCGATGTCATTGTCGAAGCTGCGCGCATTGTACAGCTCATGCACCTTGACCTTTGAGACAGATCTCTGTACCAGCAGATCCACGTTCGGGTGATTGCGATTGTGCTCGAGGAAGCGCAGGGCGAGCAGCTCCGCCGGCACTCCAGTCACACAATGGGCTGCTGTGAGCACGTACAGATCGTTGATCAGGGAACCCGCGCAGTAAAAGCGATCGTGGATCAGTATGACGGCCATCCATGGATACTGATGGATGCGCGCCTCCTGTCCTCCCACGATCCTGTGGAGTGTGTTGATCAGGCCACAGCGACACGTGCCGCATTCTCTTTCAATGGGAAAGGAGGAGGTGCTGCTGCTGGTGGGTGTGGGTGTGGGTGCCGATGTCGTGGTCGTTAGTGGTGGCAAAAAAATCGACGTAAGCCACTCGAAAAAGTCTCTCTGCTTTGGCAGGATGTTGCCTCCGCCCCGAGCAAGTGTCCAGCCCACGCAGCAGCCGAAAATGATCCACTGTAGCTGCATCTTCCTTGGTCTTGCGGCAACTGAGCACTCGGCCTCGTGTGATGATCCATTTTAAGCAGAAATTCCATATGCAAGTACGCCCCTCCCCTCTCCCCTCTCCCCTCTCCACGAATCTAATCTCGTTTCACCGAGCAGAGACCTTGTCCGGGGCAACTTTTCATTTGGCAAACACATTTTCCATGCTGTCGCACAAATGAATTCATGAAATGTTTGCCATCAAAGTGTAAAGGCTCTCCCCAGGCGAATCAACAATCGGCGCAGCTCCAGTCCCCCGGTGTGTGTGCCGAAAGTTGGGCTAATATTTGGCATTCAAGTAAAAAGTACCTTTAATGAGCTAACGAGTTGAAATTTATTTAAAAACAACATTCAATGGCATTCATTTGGAAACCGTTTTCCCTGCGACATTCCTCTACTCTGTCTTTGCCCTTTTTTACCCCAAAACGCACGCCCTAATTGGCAGTTTCCCTAATTTTCACATCAACTTCTTTTCCAACTATTTATGCAAATCAAATGCCCAATCACGAGAGAGTTGACTTGACACTCAACCAAAGACGCCATCGTCTGGTCCCACAGTCTCTGCCCCAAAACTGGCAGACATGTCAGATCTCTGTCTCTGTTGTAAGCTGGCACAATAATCTGTAATAGGCTTAGGCCTGAAATATTGACGCTTAGTGACCGCTTAGTGGATGCCAAATGACTAAGTAACATTCAGCTCTCTGTGTGGAAAACTTCTTGTCGTTCTCTTCGCCATTCTGTTGGGAGTAATTAGAAGACATAGTGAAAGCATTTTCATAACAGTTTCCCTGTGAGTTTCTGTGTGTGTTTGTGTGTAAGCCGATTATGAGTGAAAGGGAGTCGTGGGTGCAGGGGCCGCTTCGATTTTGACTCTAACTAATTGAATTTTTTGGGGTATATCCATTCAAGTCGAACTGTACATTGCATACCCCCCTCTTCCGGCCTGCGTTGGCACATGACAATGGCAATTTCAATTGCCACGCCCACAGTTGGACATAAGTTTCATGCTTCAACGCCCAAATGGTAGCATTTCCTCCTCCTCCCGACTCCAGAACAAAACTTGATGAGGCGAACTCAATACGAGGGATGGCAGCGAGGGGGCGGGCGTTGCTGCAGCGCTGCTGGGGCATGGTAGTAGCGCCCCAGTAAATTGTCCAATTATAAAACTGCGTAGGCCAGGTAGCAGCCAGCCAGCCAGCAAACACTCGATGTGGCGGCCCAACCAGTAGCTCGGAGACGTCGTCTCAGAGAGCAACTTGAGAACTCTCCATGTTCCCTGTCACTCTTGATATTCTCCCGCCGCTTAATTGATATTTATGGAAATGGGATTTCTGTCCCAAATGCAGGCCAATGCGGAAGGCAGTTGGGGAGAAGAAGGAAACCCTGCAACTGGACACAAGCTTTTCACTGAAGAAATATCGCTTAATTGTGGCCAAAGCAATAAACATGTCCAAAGTGGGGCAAAAGTTTTGCCTATCCACAAGTTTTGTTTGCCACAAAAGAAAAGCAATTAAAATGCTTCGAAATAAAGAAGAAGTCGTAGATTAGAGGGGAGAACAGTGGTCAGTGGACTCAGCATTGAGTTTATAGAAGAAACAATGTTGGATAACATTTAATTATATTTCCAGAGTATCCAGAATGTATGCTTATCTCAAGCGAATGTTTGCCTCGCCCAAAAAAAAGAAAAACTTTGCTGGCTTGGGCTATAATATTTATGCATATGTAAAATATCTTGACTTGCAGCATACCCAAAGCCACTACTTAGTTGTTCGACATGTGCTCTTGGCTGCTATCCTGACAGCATCGGGCCTTAAAATGCAGCTTACAAAACACCAGGCAAACATTCCGTCAGCGGAGTGTGCGGATGTGGCATGGGCATGGGCATGGGCATGGGGATTTGCAACAACTTTTAATTAAAATCAACATTTTCACAGGCCACGGAACAAGCTTATTAACAGTTACGTTACCCACAGAGCTCCTCTACGCTCTTTTACCCCCAAACAGTATCCACGCTTTGGCGGAGCAAAAAAATACTGTCAATTGATAAACAAGTCAACTGTCACTTAGGCCCAACATTGATAGCGACGACGACGACGACGACGACTGCGAAGAGTGGTGCCTGCAAGAGGAATACGAGGACGAGGACGTATCGTTAATCAGGCAAAGTGTCCGCAGAGGAGTCCCAATCGAATCCTGCTGCGCCTCCACCCAGTACCCCAACTGCAACTCCCTCTGCCGCCCCAGTCCCCAGTGTAGACTCCAACTCCATGTGTACCACCGCCCCAGATCCCAACTGCAACTCCACTTGTTGCTGCCGGCTGATGGCTGATGGCGATAAGCCACGACACATGTCACAAGATTTTTATTTTCAGCCTCGCTTGTTTTTTTCTCTGATGTTTTATTTTTGTTGTTGTTTTGTTTTTACTGCGTTTGCACATTTTATATGTTTTATTTCTTGTTTCAATCAAAAGTGGAAATTAAACGCGGCTAATGAAGATTTTAATTGCGTGCAACATCGAAATGGAATTGCATGTGGGTTTTGTGGTCTGGTCGCTGGTCTGTCTGGCTCGCACTATAGTGCATATATCTGTACACAATTTATATATAGACTTGCATGCCGCTTAGGCTATTTACATGATCAGCGTTTGTTGCAACACGCAATCGATGGTTTGCTTAGAGGAAGGGGAAGGGGAAAGGGAACAACTTTAACCAGACATGAAGCTCTGGCAAATAATCCACTATTGGCTAAGCCGCTTATGACAGGTACAGGGACGACAGTGATCCGGGCACAGTGGGCATCAGGCCAGAGATAAGTGGAAAGAGAAGGGGAAATACAGTGGGCATTTCAGTCCATTTGGGATGGGGGCTCTTTAGCTGGTAGTCTGATGCCTGAAAGCTATGACTAGACGTTGCGATACCCTGTAATAAATGATTGCTAGCTTGAAACAAATAGTAAGCCATGAAATAATAATATGTGTGCAAGGTAAACCTTCCCAACTCCATCCGTAGCTCCCATATACCCTCTCTGCACGTGGAAGCTATCATCAAACAGTTAAAGAGCAATTGATTGCTCAGACAATAGAGACACGGACACACAAAATCCTTTGTCATTCAACCAATTTACATAGAGCAGGTCGCTGCTCCACCACCCACACTTCCTGCCTCAGCCCCGAAACAGAACAAGAAATAAAAATAAAGAAGGAAAACGAATGAAAATGTGAAAAATGTCACGCTTCATTTGCTTTAGCAGTTCAAACGGACACCTGGCCAAAGCCAAGCTAGAAAAAAAGAGAAATGGGAAAGCAAAAGAGAGAAAAACCCGTCGACTACATGGCCCACAAATTCCATGAAAGACATGAAAAACAAATCGAATCGGACAGATCGATTAGGCATACAAATGCGCAATTAGAAGTGAACAAAAGTGTACCATTTTTTGCCCCCCTCTCTCTCTCTTTGCATGTGGATGAGTGGCTGCTACCCTTTGCCCAATTAGGCGTCACAAATTATTGTATAGATGACAGGAGTCGGAAAAGGAAACGGAACAGGAACTTACACAGGATGTGGATAAAACTAACGAGGCATGTAAATATATAGAAAGAGAGAGAGAGAGAGAGAGAGAGCAGAGCAGAGCATGGCTCCACTTTTCCCTCAATAGTATTAAATTGTTCGGTTTGTAATTGAAGCGCCTTTGGGTTAACCAAAGTCTGCCGCTGCCCACAAATTTCAATAATCACCGACAGTTTTTAATTATCCAATAAACTGTCTGTGTTGTGCCGTGCTGTGCCCCGAAAAAGTAGCTTAAACAGCCATTTAATTATTATTTATGATTGTTTAGTGCATTTGCACTGAAATTGATTTATGCGGTTTTCTCGTGTCTGGTCAAGTTTATTAATTTGTTAAAGCCGGCAGCGATTTGACAGAGAGCAACACCCCAACACAGCAGCAGCAATGTGGGCCTCTGTCATGTCGCCTGCCCATAACAATTACACATTAATTAATAACAATTTTCTTTCTGGCACTTTGCATGGCGACTGACGGAGGCGGGCGTTCAGGCATGTTCAAATTATAATTAACAGATGCATAAATGAGAGGAGCCAAAGTCGACAAATCGAAGATGGCAAGGAGAAGATTTTCGAAATGGTAGAGACATTAAGGCAGAGTTTTGTTCTTTCCCCCTGCAAATAGTTAAGGCTTTAATATTTTTAAAAATGTGACTGGGACGGTTGTCAACCGGTTATGTTAATTGCATTTGCGGCATTTCCACTCATTCGATTCGATTGAAAGTCCCGCTCATCTTAATTTGGGTTAATTTAGCTTGCCACAGCCTCCAAAATGGCAAACATTTTCTGCTTTCTATTGCTCACATGTGCCACATACTCACCGCCTCCCCTCGCTCGATGTCTCATGCCAGCGACAATGCAAACACAGCGATCCAAAGGCTGAGAAGCAAACTCAATGAGCAACGCCTGCGTGAAAAATGCAAATCAATTCAATTAAAAAAGAACAAGAGCAACAAGCGACAACAGCCACAGCCACAGCCAGAGCCATAGCTGTGGCCAGGACGTGGAGGCACATGCCTCAATGCCACAGCCGCCGCAAGGTACAGAAACAACGATCTTTCCCAGTGATGCATGGAAAAGAAAAGAAAAGAAAAACCTCCACAAAGGAAACAACACGCTCCATAAAGATCCCAGACAACCGCCATCACATCTCCCTCCCTCTCTCTCTCTCTGTCCCTCTACAACACATGCCACAAAAGTGTTGCAGTTACAAGAATTTTAATCAAGCGTTTAACACTAAACGCGCCACAAGTTGCACAGAGACAGAGCGAGCAGGAGAGGGGGGGAGGCTGTGCGGCTGCGCAGACGCATAAACAATTTTCAAATTGTTGTTGCCGTTGTTGCTTTGGTTGTTGTGTCTGCCCCAAAGCCTTTATTGGCATTGTGTTGCTGCCACAGCGACCGTTGTTGCTGCGTTGTGTTGCA